GTCTAACAGTGACAGCTATGAGCTGGCGCAGGACTGCTACAGCCTCAAAATGGCGTGCGTGACGCTTGGTTGCCATCTTTTGGGGCAACAGCACCTCTGCAGCATCCAGCTGTTCACGCAGAACGTATGCTTCTACTTGGCATACTGTCCGAAGCAGCCACCGCGGTTCCGTCATGACACCTGTTGAAAAATGATCACAGCCTTAGGCCGAAAGAATCCGAAAGATCTCTACCAAACATATCCAAACATCATGATTCATCGGAGTTTTTGCGTTTCATGAAGGAAATCGAACCTGGTTTCACAGCGCTTTAAACACATCTCCTCAATCTTGATTTCTTGCCATTTATTCGTACACCAAGTAGAAATTGTCCATTGCTCAAACCTAGCACCCTTCCCTGCTCCTGCATGTATGCTTCAAGACTGTTGGGCATGAAGTAGTGCACAACCCGACCTGCAACCGGCTTTCGCAGTTCTTCTAAGAGGTCACTGTTGATTCAAGGATGGAACTTGTACTATTCAATCAGGTCTTGAAGGCAGCGGTTCCAAAACCTCTTCGCCATTGCTGCAATGTTCACAATTGTTCAATAATGGTTGGAAGTCAAAATCGCAAGATGATATCAAACACTACGTATGTATAGTGATTGAATATTGAATAAACGGGCTTTGGGTTGCTGACACATAAGAGAACCTAGAAGCACATCACGTATACACATCAAACACCTGACGGCCAACCCGTACAGTTTTTAGATGTTTTTAGGTCTTAATAAAGTTAATACACGCCTATATCATCCTATATTAAATTATATTATCCTATACTAATCAACTATAATTAATCAACTAACCTACCAGTCTACTTGCTTACTCGCCGGATGACTTGCTACCATCAACACACCAAACAACATCATGGACACAATTGACACGATGTGTGACACAGTAGTTCTCCGATGCAATCCTCAACTCAGAGAGCCCTACTGCGAAGAAGTGCGCGGGATCGTTACTCTGATCCTGACGTGATTCTTGAAACATCTTGAAACCACTACTCTCCAGCTCAGCTAAGTGCTAACTCGATCGAACTTTAGATAATTTTGAAGCACGGGGCGCGCAAAATGCAGATGGCGTTGGGCAGGACATCAGGCCCTTTGATCATGACAACGGGGTGTGAGCACGTTGCATCGATAGAAGCTCTCCAGTGGCAATTCGAAGCACCTAACGTCTTAAGTCAGAGTACTTGGACGTAGATCTTAGATGTACATAGTACATACATGTACATACAACATTATACATCACAGTATCACCTGCTCAAACAGCACGACTCCAAAATGCTCCGTAGCCAAGTCATCAAGTCGATGCCCCATCAATTCGCCATCTCAGGCCCCTGCGCACATCTGGCTTGTCGATGCCCATACCAAATGCGATGGTGGCAACCACTGCCTCTCACCAGACTTTGGCACACTTTAAACTACCACCGATTTGGCACAACCTAAAGAGCCGCTGCATACCCTTGCAGTATCCGCATGGAAAAGGCCTGGGCTCCAAGCTTGAGAAATGAAACGCAAGGAACATCACAAAGCTAAGCTGCAGGTATTCTCTTGTGTTGGATCTATGTCCCTTAAAATACCTTCCCCTTAGTTTGATTCTCAGATCTGGTAATAGTGACCGCGAGCTCGTGCTGCATCAGAATGAATCACGCCCATTGCCAAACACATGCACTGAAAAACCCGAGCAAGAAAGTGATCAAATATCTATGATCAAATTGTATTAGACTGATTTAGACTGATTTAGGTTTGCACTGAATCCATTCGCAGCAATCCGACCTGTATCTTGTTCTGGCTGAAGGCATCCTGGGACATGGGAAAGTGTTTCCAGCTGCAAATAATATGGAGGCATAAGAATCGAGAAGGATCAATAGAATTCAACAGATACAAGTACAGTAAGGGCTCTCAAAGAGATCGATACATATAGTAAGGGATCTCAAAGACTCAACGACCATCTAAAAGGAGAGCGCCTGGATCGCCCATCGCTCTGCTGGCGACTTCTCTGCGTGGAATGCAGTAGCTGACACGCCGCCTGGCAAATCCAAGCACAGGGCGAATGGAAATTGTCTGAATTCTTTACAACACGTCCGCCTAGGATATCGAAGGATTGTTGAAAATGGTTGAAATATATTGAAGGCTCGCAGCTGCTACACTTCCTATGGGGTAGCGTGTAAAATGTACAACCAGCTGCTTGCTATGCCTGGAAATTCCATTGTAGTACTCGTTTCTGGCAAGCCCTTGGTTGGATGAGGATATGCGCACGTTTTGGTGGTTTCAATGGATATGAGATGATATGTTAAACAATTGCAACATATTTCAACCCACGGGCTTACGGATCTATTAAACTCTTGGAGATCTCCACTAAGTTAGCCAACACTCAACTTTGCATCTAAATTAGAATCTATAATTCCTGATTCATGCTTCCTGGGGATGATGCACATTGGGACCAAGTTTAAAAGAACTTGCTTTAGACATATCTTCTGTTTTTGATATTTTTTCACTTTTGGGGTAACTTGGTACCTTGCAATCGGGGCGAAATTTTGTGCAATCGGGGCGGAATTCACACAGCGTATGGGCATTGCTGATATTTGCCTCCCAAGTGTGGGGATATAACAGCTTAAGATAGCTTAAGTGTCTAGTTACTAGTTTGGCCCATCCAGCTGAGTTTGATGACTTGCTTGCGGTAGTTGCTAAAAATGTCGGTTGTGGAAACCCAAATAGTGTGATCCCAAACATTCTGCGATTGTGTCTGTGTATGTTGCAAGTATCCTTGGGGATCCGGCTGGTTCAACATGAAAAAAACAATGAGCATTGCGAAATTATGCGAAATTGTATTGCTTTTGTAACACTTTTTGCGAAATGAGCATTTTTCTTTTCCGAGTCCCTTTTTAGTGTATGGAAGGAAGATTAAGGTGTGTCTGTGCCCGCGTCCCATAGAGACCTGACCACACAAAAATCTAAAGGTATGGTGTGATGAGATCAGTTCAAAAATATGGAAAAATCAACAAATAAAACCTTTGGAATCCTTTGGCTGTCTTTGGAAACTCTGTGACCTGGAATCAATTCCTATCAATTCCTTCACTCCTATGCTGGTCATTCTCACTCCTATACTGGTTGCTTTTGACCTCGGCTGCCTGTATGTATATACGAGATTGCCAACATTTTATATAGCTTGTATAACTTATATATATAATATATAATATATATTATATATATAACCCTGTAGTTGAACACGCGGAAACTGAACTGACTGATGACCTCTGGTATTGCCTGACGGCTCTTTGCTCAGCATGCTACAGTATATTATAATATACACCGATACACCTAGTAGCCGCAAGGAATGGGTGTACGGGACCGGGGGCAAAGGACTCCAATACACTTTTGTTTCTTCACCATTGAGCAGTTCCGCCAAAACCCTGCACCATCCCCTTTTAGGACTTGTGTAAACATGTGTAAACCATACAGTACTCGCGCGGAGTGATCCCCAATGGTATGTAGGGCAGAACGACATGCAAAACCTTGCACCTGGCCTTCGGCACCGTACGCGAGTCCTTTATTCAATCTTACAGTCGACTGTGCCACACACGATGCACATACACAAACACCTTTCAAAATTCCCCAAATGGACCTGGCCGCCGGTGGCAGAGAATGGCAAAAACCTGCAACCATCAAAAATTACACCGGCAAAAGGCCCCAAACAGTGTGAGGAAGGGGATCAGATGGTAAGGTGGTATGGAAAGAGTAGACATGCAAGTGAGACAGGCCAGAGGCGCAAGACTTGTTTTCTAGTTGCGCGGGAGAAGTGTACAGTAGTAGACCAGTGACACAAAACCGGAATCAGAGCTGCTGGACTCTGACAGGATTTCATCAGGATCTTCACAACATCTTCGCACAAGGACCTCTTGGTCAAGATCTTCATACATCACGGACCTCCAAGTCTGCACCATGAAACTCTTTCAAGACCGTCGTTTAAAAAAATGCAGAGAAGTCATAAGATCTCTTTTCTAGGATCTCATGGAGAGAATCAGCGGCGCAAGGAGAGCGATCCGACACGCACAAAGTGCCGAGAGGGTTGCGCGAGCACATGTTAGATGTTCACCAAAGAAATGCACGCACCAAGGAAAATATGAACATTCACAATGTCAAAAACAATCTTTTACCTAGGTCTCAGCCACTTTTTTGTCGAGGTCTACAAAGTACTGTGCCTGCCACGCAAAATGAGCCCAGAGCAAAGCCAAGCACTTTGCGCGAGCCTGCGCAGTCGAATTGCACATGGACATCTCACAAGGAAACTTTTGTGCGAGAATTTACGGTGAAAAAGCTGGGGACCAGATGGAGCAGACCCTTACCGTAAGAACCCCTCATTGTGGACACGCTGTTTGGGGAACCTTTCTGGGTTTGGAGGGTAGCTCAGCAGCCAATATCGGGACAAGCGCCCGTACCCTTTCACACTTTTCTTCTCATCTTGCAGATGAAGCATCATCTTCTACACTCTTTCTCGCGGTCCAAGTTCATCCTGCGGCTACGCTGGCTGTCCAAATCCAGCAAATTCTTGCGTTCGTCAGCACCTGCCCACATAAGAACCACTGATTGACAGCATGTTCAACTTCAAAGAAATGACAAAGGTATACAGGATTAGAAAGGCAGTTGTAGTTCAGACTATGCAGAAGATTAGTCGTATGAAGATGCTGACATTACTTTTTCGCATCCCTTCAAGATCTGATCAGCGCGGGCAATTTCTCTCTCATCAGCCTAAATAGCTGTCTTTTCTAGTCACCCTGAGACTACAACTTGCAGTGTTCAGTCTCCCTATGACTCCCTCTATGACCTCCATGAGACCGGGACCCAGTGACAGGTCCAAGGAGTGCCTTCTTTGGAACGTCGCCATCCTCTGTGGGCTCGCTTCCAAGCGGTAGGCACACATCGATGTAATCCAAAATGGATCTTCAAAGTTCTTCAAAGGCT